AATCAGGTCTGGGTCCTCCTCCTCCTCCTCCCCCTCCTCCTGCTCCCTGCTGCTACTCCTCCTCCTCCCCCTCCTCCTCCTCCTCCTCCTCCTCCTCCTCCTCCTCCTCCGTGACACCGCGACGCACGCCGCCGTCGCCGCCGTCGGCAGCACCGCCGAGCGGGGGAGGGTGCCCTGCCTCTCGGTGCGCACCTCGGCCTCTCCGGGGGGAGGTGCCGAGACGCCGCGGGCGGGCCTCGGGGGAGCCCTCGGCGCCAGCTCGCACAGCTGGGCGCCGAACAGGAGGAGGAGGAGGAGGAGGAGGAGGAGGAGGAGGAGGAGGGGGAGGAGGAGGAGGAGGAGGAGGAGGAGGAGGAGGAGGAGAGGAGGAGGAGGAGGAGGAGGAGGGAGGAGGAGGAGGATTTGTTTTAACATGCGCCGCAGCAAGGCACCACCCTCCACCAGCCAAAACAGGCTGAGCGGCGAGGCGCTGGGAGCTCCCACTCCTGAGTCGCGCAAGCGAGGCCAGGAGCAGCGAGCAGGCGACAGAGCCAGCAGCGAAGCCACACGGCTTCCGCACGCCGAGGGGGGGGACCATCACGCCAAAAAGGCGATTGGCCCAACCATCCCCCCAGAGCTCACGGGCACAGAGCAGCCATCGTGCTGGACAGAATAGTCACCCTGGGCCGCTTCGGATGGCGGCCAGATGAAAGCTTGGCCCAGGCGTCGGGTGTCCTGGGCAGGCCCTCCTTGTTGACAGGAGGGCCAGTGCAACGACTCGCGAGGTGAGCGAGCCGCAGTCCTGAGGTGTAGCTCTTGCACACCTGGCAAAAGCAGATAAAATAATCGTCGCTGCAATCCACTACCCAGCACCTGTGGCCGAGTTGCATCAGACGAGCGACGTTGACGTGGCTATGGTGGGAACAGATCTCAGGAGGCGGCTCCGCCGCAGAGCGCCTCCCGCGCAGACATTGAGTGCACTGCCAGAGAAAGCCCACCCTCGCCCAGAGATGGCCCGAACGGGCCACGGCGGCAGGACGCGGCGGGACGATCAAAGGCACTCCCTTGAGCTCTAAGCGAGGCCAAAGCGGGAGGAGGTGAGCAGACAGACGCGCAACCGCTTGGGCAATCTTAATGTCACGGCCGGCGGACTCTTGCAGCTCTGGCGAGGCCTCGGGATGCTGGAGAGCGCCTCGCTTCGCAGCCTGGTCGGCCGCATGGTTGCCCAAGCGGTGGAAAGCCTCCAGGGGAGGCAGATCAGCTTCAAAACTCTGGTGAGCCGTAGCCTTGGTTAAGCTGCGGACCAAGGAGGCGTGAGAAAGTGCTTGCATGACCATCCCGCTGTAGACCAGCTTATGGCTGATCTGATTGTAATAGCCAGGGGCGTGATACTGCTTGTGCACATTTAAACAATCAGTATAGAAATCGCTGGGCCCTCCCGTCAAGAAAACGGAGCCTCCGAAGGCTGAATGCTCACCTCCCTGGCTCGTCTGGGGCGCGGGGCTCCAGACGGGGGCCGAAACCGTGCAGAGAGGGGACGTGGCTTCCTGATTTTCAAAAACAGAAATCCCCCACCCCGCTCTCGAGGAGCTCACGCACTGGATGCTTAAAGCACGAGCCGTCGAGGAAGACATGACCTTCGAATCCTCCACCCCGACGCTCGGGGTCATCGCGCCATTGCATATCTACTCCAGCGTCCGAGAGCGGGGGGGGGGGGATAAAGGTCCCCTGGGTGTCGGAAAAAGCCCCTGGTGAACAGAAGGAGGTCCACATTGGGGTCCTGCGAGGCTTCTAACAACCAGGGGTCCACAAGAGAGGCTCTAAGCTCCGAGCACACACTGCGCCTCCAGAGCCTATGATACAAAGAGTCGGGCTCCCTACAGAGCTCACACTTAGGACAACACTGATAACCTAAGCTGATGGCCTTATCACGGGTCCACGTAGCCCCACAGAGCACAGCCTTGATGGAGCCCCTCTGGATCTTATCGAACTTAGAAGACCGAGTAGCGGATGCCATCACGTCGAAGCACAGGCGCTGGGGGGGGGGGGCCAAGGTATTGTTGGCAGATCTCTCCAGGGACCGCAGCACTCCTTCACGCAACAGCTTCTTCAAGAGGGCAGGATACGTGACTGGCAACGATATTTCCTGCTGCGTGTCATTGATCATAGTGAAGGGGTCCTTCATCTGCCAGTCGATCCTGCACAAGGACAGCTTCATGGCGCCCACGGGGCCGCCGCAGGACCTCCACGAGAGATCCTTGCCAAACGAGGCGCTCCACGAGCGCAGTGCAGCAAAAGCGAGAGAAAGGGTCGTGGTCTTGCTGGCGGCGATCCACGCCTCCTTGCCCCAACGGACAGCCGGTGCAACTGCCGAAAGCCATGCTGGGTCATTTTCCGAAATCATGAGAATCGAAAGTGATCTGCTCCCTGCCGAAGGCTGCCTAGTACGACCGATCGACCGACGTAGGTGAGGGACCCCCCCATCACTGCAGCCACGGACTTCGGCTCCGTACAATAGGCC